AACAAACATGTAAACATGTTTTTACATTAGTGACTTTAATTCTATTTTAATAATAAACCATGTACAACAAACATGTAAACATGTTTTTACATTAGTGACTTTAATTCTATTTTAATAATAAACCATGTGCAGTGAATTTGATCATGTTGTTAAACCACTTTTACTCCCCTTAAAATAAAATAATTCAGAATAATAATTAACTGTTGCTCTTTCTTTTCTTTTTTTGTACCTGTAGACCTAAGAAAGGAATTCAAATTACTGACGAATTCAGCTGTGATAAGTGAGTAATCCTGCAACTATCTTACAACCAATTAACTCTAGGGATCACGGTAATTTAAGGTCACTCAAAGTGCAAAATTGCATATCTATTTTCAAAATGTAATAAAAAAAAAAATTATATTTAAAATTTCAATTAATTTATGCTGGAAAATGGTCTAGAAATTATGTCAAAAGATTACCTTATGGCTCACTAATTAATTTTATAAATAAGAATTATAGTTACAGAATATAACATTTTTGAACCAACATTTAAAAAAAACTTGTGGTGTAGTGGAGATGGTACAATAAATAGAATGAAAAAATTGGGTTTATTTTATTTTGGGATGGTATTGACTTCTTAGAATTTTCTGCCTAAGCCTACAGAAAATTTGTTCGAGAAAAGCGGGTTGTTTTACCTTGTAGATGATAATGTATTAAAAGTATATAATTGTCTATACAATTCATAAAAGTAACTTTTTTTTACTACATCTTGGAGTTTTGAAGTTCAACAATGCTTACAAATGTGAAATAGAAAAAGAAACTTTACTTTCCGTATATTATTAAAGTAATTTTGTTACTTTAAAAGTTATTTTATTAATTTAATTATTGGTAGTTTGTATTCTAGATGCATAATTGATCCTATAAAATGTGTGGTGTTTGTTAACAAACAACGTGTGGTGTTTGTTAACGAACAACGTGTGGTGTTTGTTAACGAACAACGTGTGGTGTTTGTTAACGAACAGCGTGTGGTGTTTGTTAACGAACAGCGTGTGGTGTTTGTTAACGAACAGCGTGTGGTGTTTGTTAACGAACAATAATGCTATAAAGAAGTATTAAACGTTATTAAGAAGAGGATTTTTTTTTGTGTTCCATGTAAATCATCTACAGTTCCTTAGTGTATTTTAATTGAAAGTGTTTTGAGGCAACCGTGTAATAGAAAAAGATCCATAACCTACTGAACTTACTGGAAGTAAGTGTGCTATAAGAAGGAAAAGAAACATGTATTTGCTAAATGAACAGATGTAATTAAAATAAAATACAAGTTACCTAATTTTTGATTTATAACATACAAGGATTACAGAATTTTAGAAGTGAAGTCAATGTTTTACTGATTCAAAATATTAAATTGAAAACATTAAGAAGTAATAAACTTGCTAGATGGAGAACGTATTTTGAATATATTTTTTTTAACTTCAAAAAAAGTTAACAGAAAGGTTTAATTAGCCCATGCTGGCTTAGCAGTAAATGTAAGGTCTAATAACGGTACAAATGGGAGGTTCGAAACCCACCCACAGTGAGTGAAGCACAGATAGCACTTTGTGCTTAACAACAAATAAAAGTTATTTTTATTAACCAACTGAAATTATATGAAAATAATTGGTGTTTGTTGTTGTTTACTTTAGATCTTTATCAAAAAAATTACAATATAAATAATAAACATTACCAAACAACTACCACTCTGGTTAATTTTAAAACATCAATGATAAAGCTGGGCAGTTACAAGAATTTGTTAATTTCGTTAGTCTTGGATTTTACTAATCACTTACATTCAATTTCTACATCACAATCCACAGCAGAGGGTGGGCAGGTCAAAGAATGAGTTAGGCTCTACATCACAATCCACAGCAGAGGGTGGAGCAGGTCAAAGAATGAATTAGGCCTCTACATCACAATCCACAGCAGAGGGTGAAGCAGGTCAAAGAATGAATTAGGCCTCTACATCACTAATTATATTTTCAATTTATCTTTAAGGAAATAAACTCTGTAATAAGATTTTCAAACAATAAAAAAAGGTCTAAGTAAAAACCTTACTTTGTGCATTTCCTTTATTAAATAAATGCGTTAATTTAGAAATGAGAACTTAAGTGTCAAAACTTAAAGTAATAAACGTGTAACTCGTTGAAAACAAAAATAAAGAAACTACTGATTTAATAAAATAAAAAATGAATTATGAAGACATAAAAAGTTTATTCTTACTTGTTCTATCAAAGCCAACAATTTGAACAGCGTGATTCCTGTTGGTTTCACAATGAAACTGAATGACTCCACCGAGATAATCTTGCCACCCTGTAGCATCCACTGCTGCAACTAGAGGGCCATGCTGATAGATAAGCTGCAACATTTCAACTTCATTTCCTGTAAAACTATTAAAGCAGTTTATTTGAAGTTCTTAACAATCAATCTTTTTTTTTTAAGTAAATTTGTTTGAGACAGAACAAGTAATGAAAACTATGATAATCCTCAAACGTAATTTGGCCTAATTCATTCTTTGACCTGCTTCACTCTCTGCTGTGGATTGTGATGTAGAGGCCTAGCTCATTCTTGGATCTGCTTCACTCTCTGCTGTGGATTGTGGTGTAGAGGCCTAATTCATTCTTTGATCTGCTTCACCCTCTGTTGTGGATTGTGATGTAGAGGCCTAATTCATTCTTTGACCTGCTTCACCCTCTGCTGTGGATTGTGATGTAGAGGCCTAGTTCATTCTTTGACCTGCTTCACCCTCTACTGTGGATTGTGATGTAGAGGCCTAATTCATTCTTTGATCTGCTTTACTCTCTGCTGTGGATTGTGATGTAGAGGCCTAATTCATTCTTTGATCTGCTTTACTCTCTGCTATGGATTGTGATGTAGAGGCCTGGATTGTGATGTACACTATACGTAGGCCAAAACTGAAGCAGTAAAGATGTACTTAATATCTTTATTTATCTTGTAATGGTGAATAATTAATAACTAACAACAAGTAGGAAGAGACAGACCGTAAAGAATAAAGTACAAAGAATTCACAGCAATAACCATTCCAGCTTTATTTCTTGCAAAATCAGATATTGGTTCTGTGCAATCAAGTTCATGTATTAATTCATGTTTGATGATCAGCATAGACAAAGAGTTTAATTTGGTCTTGCCACCTAATTAAGCGAATACCACTTTGAATCATTTTTATCTTCCTGAATGACCATTCTCTGTCGTCGCAGTTGGTCACCATCATTGATGGGTGTTATTTATACATTTGGAAACATAGACATCAGATTATTTTTGTTCCAAAAATGTTTTACTGACTGGAGTGTTTGTCTAATAAACTAATATTGAAGAAATATTTACTGATATTTTACTGACTGGAGTGTCTAATATTGAAGAAATATTTACTGATATTTTACTGACTGGAGTGTTTGTCTAATAAACTAATACTGAAGAAATATTTACTAATATTTTACTGACTGGAGTGTTTGTCTAATAAACTAATACTGAAGAAATATTTACTGATATTTTACTGACTGGAGTGTTTATTAAATAAACTAATATTGAAGAAATATTTACTGATATTTTACTGACTGGAGTGTTTATCTAATAAACTAATATTGAAGAAATATTTACTGATATTTTACTGACTGGAGTGTTTGTCTAATAAACTAATACTGAAGAAATATTTACTAATATTTTACTGACTGCAGTGTTTGTCTAATAAACTAATATTGAAGATATATTTACTGATATTTTACTGACTGCAGTGTTTGTCTAATAAACTAATATTGAAGAAATATTTACTGATATTTTACTGACTGGAGTGTTTGTCTAATAAACTAATACTGAAGAAATATTTACTAATATTTTACTGACTGCAGTGTTTGTCTAATAAACTAATATTGAAGATATATTTACTAATATTTTACTGACTGGAGTGTTTGTCTAATAAACTAATATTGAAGATATATTTAC